TGTGGAGGCAGGAGAGGGAGTAGTGGTTCCTTGTGTAACAACATAAAAAAGAACAATACAAGCTGTTTATTGATAAGTGTGTCAGGTTCAGTAATAATTACCTTCTAAATGCTGATTTTGTCCTTATAAGAACTCTGTAAAAAAAGACATTTTATCATTTAGAAAGAGAGCCACCTGAGGGGTAGATTGCTTGGTTGTTTAGTTAAGCTACAGAGCCAAGATTTTCAGGGATGATTGAATCTTATGTTTTCTTGTTATACTATGTTGTTTTTGTTCTTTAAGTTTAATATCACTATGGACACATGACTTCACTGATTAAGAAGAAATATGGACAATGATATGGAAATTGTATCATTAAAACCTCTTCCAGTCAGTACTAATGTTCCAAACACAAACAATTTCAAGCACTGGTGTGGTCACCTGCATGCTTGTTCATTGCTTATCAATTGGTGTATACTACATGCACCTTGGATGACCCTGCTCTGTAGAAATACTAATTATCATCCTTCTAGAACACATCCATCCTGGTTCTAAAATAGGCAAGAGCTCTCAGGGTTTGTTTTGTCATTTCTCATTGTGTGTCCCTTTCTCATTCGCTTAACATCTTTGCTGAAATTTCCTACATTCATTGCCCTCTTTTCTTTGGTTTGTTTTCCCCTTTAGATGGGCAAGTTTGCTGGCCATTTAATTGGCATGGTTCCTGCTTGTTGCTGTGACTGGATCAGGGATCCTATCCCATCATTTCTTTATTAGGAAAATATCTCTTAACATAGTTCTCATCAAACTCCAGCCAAGTTTATCTTCTCTGGGCTGAGTGGCTATTGGGTTGGATTACTTACCAGTGGGGCTCCCCATCATAAATTAACTGTGAAATTAAGGAATCTATAACACACTGGACAGACACCCAAATGCAGTGAGAATTTGCTTGAGGGGAAGGGTTAGTAACAATGGGGAAATCTGACCCTATTATTTTAATTAGTGTAAAATCTAACACTAAGCAATGTGTTTACTTAGTCAAGCATATTTTCACACATAATAATTCTTGTGAGGTTAGCATAATGTTTATGGTCCTGTATTGATTTTTAAAAATAAGTGTTGTACATGAATGTATTGTTCCTCTTTTTACTTCTCAAATCTAGTGCCTGAGTCAAATAAACAGGAATTTAAAACAGTGAGAGGGGAGAAGCACTGATGTATGTTTTACAGCGGCATTGTTTTCCTCGGCATTTAATCAGGTTATTAATATCGGTGATTTTTTTTCCAACAAGATGATTCTACCAGGTGAGCATCCATTCTGAGTGAATTATTATAAATGAAACATAAAGGACCACAATGAACACCGACCTGTAAAAACTTCAATGCTGGGGAAATGCAAGATGCTGAAGTAGTTAGAGACTTGAAATTTGTGTGTAGAGATATGAAACTGTAGGCAGTTAGAACTTAATTTAATATATGTGACTGCCATGGGGTGAGCTATACATTGCTGCAGTCAGTAAACAGGATCACTTTTTTTTACAGGATAGACTTAAATTCTGTGTATCCATATTTTTTCTAGTCACTAATGAATAATGAATTGTTTCCATTACTACCTCAGTCTTCCTCTCTCTCTTGCATTCTTACTCCCCAGAGTGAAAAAAGTGCATGTTTTCAAATTTTAATCATATGTTTTGTGTAATTTGACCAATGCAGTCACATTTTAAAATCATGGTTTGTAAAGTAGTAAATCCAAATTCAGTTTAACATCGGCACTAAATCCTTTCTCTTATGTCTTTCAGGAAGCTTCATATTCTCTTCTCTCCCTCTTCATACCTTCCTGCTCACCCCTCCTTACATCCTCACTCTCCAATCCTGATCTTTAGCTGATTTACTAATACTTACAATCTTTATTTGTTGGGTATATTTTAAATGAAGCATTTGATGACTAGAATTCCTATATAGTCTGAAATAATATCTTTTGATGCTTTTGAATATTTTGTCATTTTCTATACAATAAATGAAAACATACTGCAGCAAAGTCAGTGTCTGGAGTTAAACTGTGCATATCATACCATACATCCAGTCCTTTGGATACCCAATAAGAGTGAACATGAATATTAAAGTGGAAACTAAGGAACATTAGGCATAATATTTTTAATCCTTTCCATGCCTCCTAATCAGGAATTTATATTCTAAAGTTTTATAAACCATCCTATATTATTTTCTAAAGGTATCAAGAGAATGCCCTTTCATTTTTTCATGGTTACTAAGCTGTACTAAGTACAATGAGAGTGTGTTAATTGCCCAGAGATGATCAATGAATGTGTGCAGATAATGAAGCCATAGCATGATGTAAGTGTTAGAAAACAGTAAAATAAATTGATCATGTTGCCTAGAGGGGTCTGGAAAGTCTTTCTTTGGGGGCCAGTATTGGATTTGAAACTGCATGCTTGCTTAGCATACATGCTACCACTTGAGCCACTCTTTCAACCTTGTGAAGGTCTTAAATTGAGTTGGCAGAAGGGCAAGCATGATGAGAGACATCCCAGGAGATGCAGTGCCAATGAGCACCTTATATTTCAAGACCTATGGTGCTTTATTTCTTGAATTGTCAATGACTAGTCACCTAAATTATTATTTCACTTTTATTTGTATTTTATTTCTGGCAGTATTGAGGATTAAACCTATACCATAGTGCATTATAGGCAAATAAATCCCACCCAAGGGACTCTATCTTTCCTCTGGGCTAACAAATTCTTGATTCTACTGCCTCCATCTCCCAAATACCTGGGCTTACAAGAGGCATTTGTCACCCAACATGCCACCTAAATTATTTTAATGGCAAAATTACATAATGACATCTCATTTTTAATGGCAAAATTACATAATGACATCTCATCTGTTCTGCCATCTATAGCCAAGTCTACTGTATACTCAACCTTGTGAAGGTCTTAAATTGAGTGGGCAGAAGGGCAAGCATGATGAGAGACATCCCAGGAGATGCACTGCCAATGAGCACCTTATATTTCAAGACCTATGGGTGCTTTATTTCTTGAATTGTCAATGACTAGTCACCTAAATTATTATTTCACTTTTATTTGTATTTTATTTCTGGCAGTATTGAGGATTAAACCTATACCATAGTGCATTATAGGCAAACATAATCCCACTTAAGAGACTCTATCTTTCCTCTGGGCTAACAAATTCTTGATCCTACTGCCTCCATCTCCCAAATACCTGGGCTTACAAGAGGCATTTGTCACCCAACATGCCACCTAAATTATTTTTAATGGCAAAATTACATAATGACATCTCATCTGTTCTGCCATCTATAGCCAAGTCTACTGTATACAATTTTTGATACTGAGGCACTGTCATTAAGTCAACAGGCTTGGTGTTTAACTAGAGGTTAACTGAACATTTGAGCCTGTGGAGAGTAGGTTTGGCAATGAATCTTCCCAGACACCTTGGCACTAGATCACAGATGTCTGAATGAATAAGACAGGAGTTAGCAGCAACAGAAATTCCTGGAGTGGCAAAGGCCAATGACACAGTCTAAGATGATTAATGCTTAAGATCAATAATGTGTTAGCATATTGTTCTTAGGATCTCATTCTGTGGTTTAGTAACAAGGAACAAATTCTGTTAGAATTAACCTACCCCAATTTGCCTCACATCCAGTCCTTAATGGAAGTGATGAACAGTTGGCTAGGATCTTTTGAATAATGACCCCTTCCCTGGTTGGAAGTAGTTTCATTTAAAATTATAGAATCTTAACATGGGAGTACAGGTGCCTTTGACACAATTTGGTCAATCCTTCTGAGAGGAAAGCAACACTTGCTCAAGTCAGTCAGGCCTCAGAACTCCTGATGCTTAACCATTTACTCTTTTCTTACTTTGTTACTTGTTAGCCCGCCCGACTTCATTCTCTCAGAGCCTCTCACAGTTCCATTTCCTTTCCTATCTCCACAAATCAACAGACATGTGTTTTACTAGAGGCTTGTTGAATTGTCCAAGAGGGAGGGACACTTTTATCTCTATGATCCTATAGGCCCATTCTCCTTCTGTTTAGATTAGACCTTAACTACACCTGAACACTTTCCCCAAGTTGATGCAATTAAACCTGACTACTCCTTAATGTGATTAATGTGACATTAAGGAGCTGAGGGGACAGCTCCTGGTAATGAAACTTAATGCTTCATTTTCCCGTCTTTCAAAGGAACAATCTGTTCTACGTAAGTGAGAAATTTAAAACCTTAAGCTTATTTCTTGAATTATCAATGAATAGTCACCAAAATTATTTTTAAAGGCAAATTTTCTGTAATGATATATCACCTATTTTTCAGCCATTTTTATAACCAAGAGTACTAGATAGAATTTTTGGATGCCAAGGCACCATCAGAAAACATCAACATTTCTTTCCAAATTACTTCTCCCATTTTCTTTTCCATTTCTGTTTTTACCAATGTCATACTTGTGGTTGCCCAGTAAAAATGTTGGAGTCCTTTCTCTGCCCCATTCACTGTCTCCCCTCCCCTCACCTATCTGACCAATTCTTATTCACTCCACTCTATATTTGGGGCCAACACTCTACAATCCCTTGCCTGTGTTGTTGCATTAACCTCTTAGCTGGTTTGCTAGATTCTGTGTCCTTCCTCACACAAACTGTTCTGAGCATGAAAACAAAGCAATGCTTTGAAAGTAAGTTATTTCACAGTACTCCTCTGCTCAAAACCATGTAATGCCTTCATTTCTCTCTCAAGAATAAAAAATGAACTTCTCAGAATTTCAGAATTGGAACTAAATAAGATGGTTCTCGTAATGTGCATATATTTTCTAATTTGTACTTTTATTGTTCTTGAATATGAAATCTGTTTCTCATATTCAAGATTTAAGTCTGTGCTACAGAGTTGAGATTGTCAGATAAGTGATAGCTTGTGAAGACATAGCTGTATATTGATTTGCACTTGTATTACTTTGTGGAAATGATTGTCATTTTGTGTTTTCACTTTTTGCCTCTGCAGCTGGACTGTTCTTCAAGTTATTCTTTACTTCTCCAAGATATGACTCTTCACAGAGTTGGATATTGGATTACTACCTCTGCTTACAAAGATACCTCACTGTTTAGAAAAGTAAAAATGAACAACTGCATCAAATATTTCAGTGGCTTAGAAGATGGCTATGAGGATTTTTTTTTTATCCATTTGGAAACCTGCTTACTCTCCAATTTTCCCTTGACATTCAATCAGCCAAATCTAAATTTAAGAACCCTTTCAATTTTTCTTAAGTTTTAGCAAGGGTTTATTTTAGTATAACACAATAAAGTATGGAGAAGGATGGGGCAGGGAAAGAGAAAGAGAGAGACATTTCCTGTTTCCCACAAAGGAAATGAGAGTAAAGACTCCCCTTTCCATTTTTTTCATGCTAAGCCTTATCTTTCTTCCAGGAAAAGGATTTTAATTGGTAAATGATCATGCTGTGCAAGCATGGGAGTTTGTAGAAGTTACTTAGTTTGTAGACGGCAATTCCTAGCCTAAACCATAATCTGGCAAAAACTTTCAGATATAGAGCACATATATGCTATTAGCCTATGGTGGTCTTCCAGAAAAAGAGGGCTGTGTGTGTGTGTGTGTGTGTGTGTGTGTGTGTGTGTGTGTGTGTGTGTGCAGGAGAGACACAGAAAGACATGGAGACAGTGTGTAAAACCACTACTCTAGAAACCAGGAATTCTTGTTTTTAATCTTGACTTTGTTATGGACTTGTATCATCAATAGAATTTCCCAAACTCTGCACTTCAGTTCCTCAACCATAAAAATCAATGGGTAGAATAAAATCAGTGATAGGCAATCTGTGTGCACATCTCGTAGTCAGGCCCATGGTAGGTGTAACCTGTAAATAAAGTGCTCTTACCTGCTGAACAAAGATTTGTCATCTGAATTGTGATTATTAACATAATGCTCTGGAGTCACTACAGCAATTACAGAAGAGTTAAAACAACTTGTCTTCAATAATCTTTAAGGCCTCTGACTTTATCATTCTCTACTTCAAGGCATGATAGTTTTCTGTTTGTTAGTGAGGCTTACTTATTAAAATAAGTATAGCACTGAGAAATTTACTGTTTACTCACTATTTAATAATATTAGTAAGATGTATCACTTACTATTATGTGCAAAGTCATACATTTTTACATATACCATCCCCTCACATACATGTACACAGAATAGTTTTGGTCATCAGAACAACCTTTTAAAGTTAACTAGGATTGCTTGGAAACTGAGGCTCAGAGAAACTCTAACTTTCTCATGATTATAATACCAAATTTGAAATATTTGAATCTGTCATTTTCTATGTTTGACAACTTTATGGCATATCCCATTGGCCAAGCACAAGGGATAAAAAGAACCTATCATCAATTGCTTTTGTGAATGCAATACAATATGACCCCTATAAAGGAGAATTTGTCAACAATGAATACAAAAAAATACGTATTTTCTTTTTGATACAAAGATCCTACTTGTAGGAATTTTTAGCTTTTTGAGTTGAAAGTAGCACATATGCACAAGTTTATATGTAATACCAACATATTGGAATAATTGAAATATTCATCTATAAAAACAGGTTAAATAAACAAAGAAGTAATCAATAGCTTAAAAAAGTGAGGACAATATATGAATTTATAGTGTGAGTCTAAGATATTTTGTTAAGTGAAAAAAAACAAGAAACAAAATGTGTGTAGTATACTACCTTTTGTGCAAGAAGTTGAATCAGGGATGTAGATGAATAAATGCTGTTTATCCACTTCCCTGTATCCATGTGTGGTGAGAACAAGGTACAGAAGTTTTGGAGCAAGACTTAATTGACTGTAGCCTTTCACATAGATTTGATGTGTGAAACATCTTTATATGTATTCAAAAACAAAACCAAGCCCGGTGTAGTAGTTCACACCTGCAATCCCAGATACTTGAGCAAGAGACAGAAGCAGGATGATCCCAAGTTCAAGACCAATCTGTGCAAAAGTTAGAAAGACCCTATCTCAAAACCAAAATACAATTGAAAGGGCTGGGGGTGTGGGTCAAATGGTAGAGCACTTGCATACTATGCTTATAGCCCTCCGTTCAATCCCCAGTACTACAAAAAACAGCAAAACAAAGTATGAAAAAGATCAATCACTAAAGTAGGAATATAAATAAACATTATTTTAGCAGTATATGAAATTAATAACCCACCCACACAGAATTAATTCAACTGACTATTAAGTATACTTTCTAAACTGTATATTTTTGTTGGACCTATAAGGCCACTAAAGATAATTTTACAATTTACTACATTTGTTACTGGTGGTATTGACATTGTAATTCTGAAGCTATTTCGTGTTTGTGTTAGGATGAACCAATGGCTAAATATTTTAATGTTGTTGGAAACATCAGTTGATTTCACTGAGGGAGGAGGAGATATAAAGAAGTATGTACTGGATGTCAGTTGCACATGTTGTATTAACTCATAATACATACATACATGTATATCATGCACACACACATATATAAATATATATAAATGTATAGCTATATTATGGAATATATATATTAAGATATATAAAGAGAACCTAGAAGACATAACCCATTAGTAATTATATCAAGAATCCAGATCTTGATTTCTAAAATTTACTTCCCATTAAAAGAACCATCTCAGGCTTAGGATGTAGCTCAACAGAACAGCACTTGTCTAGCATGTACAAGGTCCTGCAAGCAATATTATGAAAAACAGATCACATTAAGGGAGGTCACATATGAGAGGTTAAGAAGGAAATTAAGATGAATATGGCTGATGTACTCCCTATACAAGAATTAATATAGAATTTTTACACCTGTTGAAATTTACCATTAGAAGGGGACTAAGGTAGAAAGAACAAAAATGTAGATGAACCAATTCAGGTTCATTTCCATGAGATAGACTCATACATGGAAATGTCACAAAGAAAGTTCCTGTATAGCTATCTTAAAAATGTCATTTAAAAAAATTTTTCTAAACTTGGAGAACAGGAGGGCAAAGCAGGTCCCATTTGAGGGTTGACCATTGGCAGGGGGGAGTATGTGGGGAAAGGGAGTAGGAGGGTGAATATGGCTCAAATACTGTGTATACATGTATTAAATGAGAAAATGAGACCTGTTGAAACTATTCCATGAATGGAGGGGGCGAACTCAACTATGATATGGTTCATATATTGTAAGAACTTTTGTAAATGTCACAGTGTGCCCCCAGCACAACAATAATAAAAACATCCATAGTACTACCCCTCCAAAAAGAAGAATCAGAAGAATCTATATAGTAACACAGCTCCCCTGGCAGTTGGTCTGGACTCTTCAAAATAGTCAATGTGTTAGGAAAAAAACAAGAGAGTTGCAGGATCATTTTGGTGTATAGGACCATAAGGATACCAAAGGATGGGGTGAAGCCAACTTGAACACATAGGTCTTGATTAATAATTGTATGGGGTTGGAATGGGGAACTATACTGAACATTTTTTAGATAATCGGGGAATTTTTTAATAGTTATATGTTAAATGATGACATTGAATTCGTGTTGATTTTCTCATGAGCAATAATAGTGTTCATCTTTACAATGTTCTTTTTTTAGGTGATGCCTGCTAAGGAATCTAGAGATGAAATGTCATGATGTCTGGTTTATAATCAAATGATCTGACAAAATAGAAGAGGTGTTTGTGTGTGTGTGTGTGTGTGTGTGTGTGTGTGTGTCTTTTGACACTGAAGTTAGATGAGTAAACTGAATTTGTGTTGCATTCTTTTGACTTTTCTGTTGGTTTGAAAATTTGCAAAAAACATTTTTTTGAATTCAAACTTGGGTTTGAATTCAAGTCTAATATAGTGAAAGCCCATTTGCTTTCCCTTAAACCTCATGATGTATGTTTTTAGAGGTAATTCTTGTATAATAAAGACTTTTTTCAAATGAATGATTATTGAAGTCAAGCCATTAAATTTAATGGTTAAGACAGAATTTTTTGCCACCTGAGGGAGCATTTCCTGATTTTATATTCATAAGTACTTTAGGAAAGAGTTCTTATAGTTCTTTGGGCCCTGTTAATGGTGTACATACTGCAAATGCTTTTGACACAGTTTTTTTAAATAAATGAATGCTTCTGAAAAACACCCATTTGTCAACTTACATTGGCTAAACACATCAATTTGCCTATTTATTGGTTGATAAACAGGAATCAGATAAAATTTTATTATACCCATATTCACATTTGAGAACTTAAAATTATAAAAACCAGGTATCTTAGATTGTCTTGTGTAGACAGTGTTTATCACTGGAATTTGTGTATGAAAGGAAGTCTTTGCCCTAAAATGTCTTCAGTCTTCTGGCTAGCTATGGTTTCAGAGATACATAGGCCAAAATTAGAAGCTTACAGTTACTTTCCTTAGACTTACCAGATAAAATACAGGATGCCCAGTTAAACTGGAATTCCAGATAATACATTTTAATGTAAGTCTAAATTACTGCTTGGAACATACTTATACTAAAAAATTATTCTCTGAGTATCTGAAATACAAATTTAGGGAAATGGATATGTGCTGGTCAATGGACACAAAGTTTTAGTTTTTTAGGTTGAGTAAGTTATAATGATCTAATGCACAGCATGGGGACTGTAGTTAATATTGTACTGTGTACTTGAAATGTTCTGAGAGCTTCAAAACACAAACACACACTTGTGGTAAATGTAAGGAAATGCTATAGTAGCTTGACTAGTAAACAGTTTATAATGCATATGTATATTGAAATATCCCTGTATACCTTAAAATATAATTTTAATAATTGGCTTTTAAAGAAAGAGTTAGTTATAAGGTTCCAGCTTTACAGCCCTCTCTTCCCTACTATACCTTTCTGCTCAGGGAACAGCCTCTTTAGCAGATTAGATCATTCTGGGCTGGGATATAGGGAAGGGAAGAAGTATGGCCTGAGGTCAGGTATGCTGTTCCACTCACCTGTAGATCTCATTAAGATTAGCAGGAGCAGCCTTGGGAAAAAACGAGGGCCTAATCACACCTTTGAATGAGCACTGAGGCCTTAAATTCAGCCTTCCCTATTGCTAGGAAGGTGATCTGGGCCTAATCACTTACTTCCCCCTGCCTCATTTTATCTGTGATATTTGGCTAATAAAATACTTGCTCGTATGGTTGTTGTGAGATTTAAATAAGTTAATATATGTAATATATAAAGAACAGTGCCAAACATCTGTAAAATGATGACTATATGTGTATTTGTCTATTACTTAAGGTTTTTCCTTGATATTTGTGCTTATACCCCTTAAAGTTCCCTAAATGGTGTGGTTCTCTCTCTTTTATTGGGAAATTTAGCAAATGCCTGTCAATTTTATTGGCTTTTTTTCAAAGAGCCATCTCTTGAAATTTATTTATTAAATGTGAATTTATCTTTGGCAATCTCTTGTTCCTCTACTTTGGTTTGTATTTTGTTCTTATTTTTTAGTATTGCATGCTTAGTATTTACATCATTTCATTTTCATTTATGTTTAGTGTAACACTATTTAAATGCTAAAATATTTTGAGTTTTGCTTTATCCTAACTCCATAGAACTTGTGCTATAATCTCACTATTACTATTTCTAAATTACATTGTTAACTTTTTCCTGTTCATATTTCCATATCAATGTAAATTTGCTAGATTGTATCATTTACCTTAAAAATAACTCCCATATTCACAGAGACATTGCCATTTTTCTTGTCTCACTTATAGCAACATTCCTCAAAAAGAATTGTCCATATTTTGTTTCCAAAATCCTTATCTTCCATTGTCTTTTATTGTAGTCAGCTACTTTCACCATACTCAAACCATCCTTATCAAAATCATCAGTGACTTTCATCTTTCCAACTTGTGAGGTTCTTGTTATTTTACTCCTCTCCTTTTGTGATGAAAAAAAGTTTTCCTCGCTTGATTCCTACTGTTTATCACAGATCTTTCCTTCATTGGCTTCTAAGGTGTCATTTTTCCTAATTGTCCAACTTTTGGCACCTTCTTTACTGACTTCCTTCTTACAGTAAAAGTGACCCAAGGTTTGTTTAGAAATGGCCTTCTAGGTAAATGAAATATTTGTTTTTCAAACTCACTTCATTGATTCTTCTTTCTTAAGTAATATCTGAAGTATATAGCCCATGGCTTTTTCTGGATGTTCATAAAGTATTAATGAATACATTAATGTATATTAATACATTAATGAATGTATTATTAAATACAAA